GCTGGGGTTTTCTGTCCTGTCTACACTAGCTGCCTTTCTTTGGCCCATTGGATCTCTTACACACACACACACATCTCTTACACACACACACACACACTCTAGCTGGGGTTCTCTGTCCTGTCTACACTAGCTGCCTTTCTTTGGCCCATTGGATCTCTTACACACACACACACACACACACACACACACTAGCTGGGGTTCTCTGTCCTGCTGCCTTTCTTTCGGCTCTGCCGCGTCTTGGTCTCGAGCGCGCCCTCTACCGGCATGAAATTCCCTGTGTTCAACTGTTTTAGACTAAGGCTGAAGAACTCACCTGGCCTATCAAGCAGCTCTTCCCTTTGGGAAGAGATTGCAATTTTAGTTTTAACTTGTCACGCACCCCTTTTTGCTTCTCATTATAATTAGTTCACTGAGTTCGACATAATGACAGCCCAATTAAAAAATGAACAACATGCTTGTGAAAATCCCTCCTATGACTGAACTGTAAAAGGTAGTTATATTTTAATATATGATACACTCCATTTTCATTTTCCCCATTACATCTGTCGCTTCAAGGTCATCCCCACCCCCCTTTAAGACTTTTATTTTTTATTTACTCAATTTTTTAAAAAGATCTTTCACATTTTTTAAATGTGTGTATGTATGTGCCTGCTTGTCTGTGTGCACCACATTCCTCTGAGGCTAGAAGATGTCATCAGGTCCTGTGGAACTGCAGTCAATTGTAAGCCATCCTGTGTGGGTGTTGGGAAGTAAAACCCAGTCCTCTGCAGAAGGAACAAGTTCTTGTAACTGCTGAACCATCTCTCCAGATTCCTTTTTAAAAAAATGTATTTTATGTGTATGAGTGTTTTGAGCACATGTATGTGTGTGTAGTGTGTGCATGCAGTGCTGGGGATGGAGGGGCAGACCAGAAAAGGGTGTCAGGCTAAATATCAAGTCACACCCATTCCACTTTTATCAGGAACCCTTTCCCGAGACAGCTAACCCACTCTAGGGACAGTGGCCTTAATCCACTCCTGCAGTTGGGGCCCTTGTAACATAAACCTTCTAAGGGGCCCACCTGTTATTATGGCTGCAGTGGCAGTTAGGTTTCCATATGAGCTTGGGAGGAAATAGTCAAATCATATCAGATTAACCCTTGTTTTTAAAGACTTCCATTTTACCGACCTAGTTAGACAATGAATTGTGAGGTCAAGGGATGATTGCTCTGAGAAAGATGTAAGTATTAAATGCAAACACTTGTTTCTTTTTGTTCGGTTTTGGGTTTTGTTGTTGTTTCTGTGTTTGCTTTCCCTGAAAGGGGCGGGGGAAGTCTCTTAAGGCCCAGGCTGCCTTCAAACTTGTTACATAGCTGAGGCTGGCCTTGAACTCCTGATCCTTCTGCTGCCATGCCCACAGGCTAGGGTTGCACACATGCACCATAATACTGTTTTGTTCCCCTTTTTTGTTTTGTTGCTGCTGTTGTTGTTTAAGACAGACTGGTCTCAAATTCCCAGCCATCCTCCTGTCTCAGCCCACTGTTTTTTGTAATTACAGGCATGTTCCACCATACCTCTTCCTACGTTCTTCCAGGGAGATCAGACAGGGACCCCTGAGGTCTCAGTGAGCTATTTACCCGACCTGCATTCTGAGTTGTCTGCATGTAATGCCATCTCCTGCCTTCTCACCTGGGCCTCTTGCATAAAATTGTCCATTGCATGCTACTCACCGACGTTCATTTATGATCAAATAACTGAAAATGCCCAGAGCAGTTCCATGGCAACCACATTTTTTAACCCATAAAATAAATAACTCAGTAAGAATATAAAGTTCTTAACATTACCACAGAAAGTTATTATTTTAGGTACTTTTCCATGGTTTGAAAAAATATCATTTATCTTGTGTATGCACGTGTCTGTGTGTGTGTGCATGTGTGTGTAGGTATGTGTACATTTGGTCATGGAGATAAAAAATCAGTGTCAACTGTTCTCCTTGATTGATCTCCTTTTTACTTTTTATGTTTTTAGATGCTTTTATTAAAAAATATTGTGTATGTATATGGGTGGGTCTGAATGTCTGCCTGTGTACCATGTCTACAGTACCTGCAGAGGCCAGAGGAAGGCCTTGGATCCCTGGAGCTGGAGTACAGGCAGTTGTAAGCCTCATGATGTGGGTCCTGGGAACTTAACCCCAGTCCCCTGGAAAAGCAGCCAGTCCTCTTAACCACTGAGCCATCTGTCCAGCCCCTGGTTTTCCTTCTCATATTTGGTTTTTGTGGTCTGGAGGGCACCCAGGGCTTCACTTACTCTGGGTCAGTGCACCACCACTTAGCCACGTCCCTTCTGTTCTAATATACATCAAAGTTGATTCTAGTTTCAAAGGAAATAAATAGTCAAAGGGAGCATAACATTTTTGTAAACATCAACTGAAAATGCCTCTCCCCTACCAGCCTTTCTCCTCAAAGCCTTGCTCTCCTTTCCACTGTTTCTTATTTTGTTTTTAGAGACAGGGTTTCTCTGTGTAGCCCTGGCTGTACTGGAACTCACTTTGTATCCCAGGCTGGCCTGGAACTCACAGAGATCAGCCTGCCTCTGCCTCCTGAGTGCTGCTGGGATTAAAGGTGTGCACCACCACACCCACATTTCTTTTCACTGTTTTAAACTTAAATGGAAATAAAATCTTTATGCTGACATGTAGGGTGACAGATGATGTGCAATCAACAAGAAACATCCTGGAACTGTTCACCCGAGTTCATGGGCTATAGCCCCAGATCATCCTGAGGTAGGCTCCCACAGCTCACTCCTACTTAGACCTTACTCTCCAAGTAATAAGGGAGTTGGGGCCACTTGTGAGGTCAAACTAGGAGTTCTCTGAAGTCACTGCCGAGTAAGTTTACAGTGAAGGTAAGTATAAGGGGCTGGAAGGATGGTTTATTCAGTCAAGTCTTTGTCCTACAAGCCTAGGACCTGAGTTCTATTCCATGTAAAAAGCCAGGTATGAGCCAGGCAGTAGTGGCGCACACCTTTAATCCCGGCACTTGGAAGGCAGAGGCAGGAGGATCTCTGTGAGTTCGAGGTCAGCCTGGTCTACATAGTGAGTTCCAGGACAGCCAAGGCTACACAGAGAAACCCTTCCTTGAGGGGAAAAATAAAAGCCAGGCATGGCTACATGTGCTTGTAACCCCAAGCATTAGTTCACTGGCTAGATTCCTCTTCAGTGAGAGATTCTGTCTCAAAGCAATAAGGCAAAGAATAGAGGGAGACATCCAGTGGCCTGCTATGAACTCCCAATACACAAACACCCACATACCCACACGTGTGTACCATATACATTCCACACACCCACTTACCCACAACAATCAAAGATGACAGGACATGTTTGTGATCCCAGCTCTTAGGGTATTGAGAGATAGGTGAACTCCTGGGATTCACTGGTCAGGTCATATAGCTGAATTTGTGAATTCCAGGCCAGTGAGCAATTTTAAAAACCAAGATGGAAGCCAGGCGGTGCTGGTGCATACCTTTAATCCCAGTATTCAGGAGGCCGAGGCTGTGAGTTTGAAGCCAGCCTGGTCTACAGAGCAAGATCCAGGACAGGCACCAAAACTACAATGTGGGAGGGGGGGGGAATAAAAAACAACAAGATGGACAGCTCCTGAGGAACACCCGAGGTTAACCTCTGGCCTCCATATATACACACACACATGCATGAATACCTACACACATATACAACTGGACACACGGACACACACATGTACTCATGAACACATACATACACATATGAGTAATAAAACAGCCAAATTTGAAGCATGCATGTCTACAATGTGAAACTCACATAGGCCAGAGGAGTTTTTTATCGGGATCTTTGTGTAGAATTGCTGGCATTCAGTGACAGCAGACCAACTTATAGTCATTTGTTGTTATTTTAGGTTCTCTGTGGCCATGTTCAGTCTGTCCATATACCATGCTCCACCTCTGCAGGCACTGGCTTCTGGCCTGCAGTGGTGCCACTTGACTTAAGAAACTACCCAGCAGTCATTTCCACTTGTAGGCAGTGGTTGCTTCTGTTATCCTGAACATTCATGCCTCCTTCCATTCTCCACACTCCCCATTCTCAGGCAGTGAGCTAACTACCTAGTTCACCAGACATTAAACTATAGGGTTCAACTTGCCGTCACTACCTACCGTCAGGCTCAGAGAACAGACTAATCTGTCTTACCCATCACATCCAGGGGGCTTGCGCTCTCTCTCCATCTCTCCTCTTCCTTTTTCCCTCCACCTTTCCCTACCCTCTCTTCTCCCTTCTTTAACTCTATAGTATCTATGAAGTGGTCATAAAGACAGACTTTAAAGTGATCTGTAAAGAAGTAAAGCGTGTCCCCAGACCACCAGGGACAAACTCTAATCTGAGCATCACTTGACCCTGAAGCTGTTTGATTGCAGTGGGAGATAGAGCTGTCTGAAGACAAGGAAGGTGGGTTGTTTGTTTGTTTGTTTGTTTGTTTCAATGTGTGATGAAATTATTTACTGTGTGTGTTTCAGAAAACCTTAGAACCATGTATGCAAGTCATGAAGATATTGGGTATGACCTTGAAGATGATCCCAAGGCTAAGAAGGCCCTGAAGCCCCACCCAGACATTGATGGCGGGTGGGCCTGGATGATGGTCCTTTCTTCCTTTTTTGTACACATCCTCATCATGGGCTCACAGATGGCCTTGGGAGTCCTCAACGTGGAGTGGCTTGAAGAGTTCCACCAGAGCCGTGGCCTAACCGCCTGGGTCAGCTCCCTGAGCATGGGTATCACCTTGATCGTGGGTACGTTCGCTGCTACCTGTTCTAAGAGGGGATGGCTATAAAATGACAAGTCCCTGTTGGGAGTAATTCATCCAAAAGAGAGAGAGAGAGAGAGAGAGTAATTCATCACAGTCCTGAAACATTAGGGATCAGATTATCACCAACAACTTTAAAATTGAAGTAAAATATTCAGAACACCAAATTTACCATATAGCTCTGTGTGTGTGTGTGTGTGTGTGTGTGTGTGTGTGTGTGTGTGTGTGTGTGTGTGTGTGTGTTCCAAGGCCCTTGTGTACGTCAGAGGACAACTTGTAGAAGCTGATTCTCTCCTTCCACCATCTCAGTCCTGGGGGATGAGGCTCAGGTTGCCGGACTAGAGTCAGCCAGTGCCTTCACCTGCTGAGCCGTCTCCCTGACCTCAACACTGACTTTGTAACTGATGATTCACTTTCATCACGTCTGCTTGTTTAACACTTTTGTTGGAACTGGCCTTCGCTCAGTGGTTCCTTAGAGTTGGCAACATTTCTGTTGTTTTGAGACAGGGTTTCACATAGCTCAGGCGGGCCTTAAACTCAGTACGTAGCCAGATGCTGGGATTACAGGCATGAACCACCTCACCCAGGTTATTTAACTTTGTGAATGTTTTGGGGGCACTGTTGGGTATCAGGTCCAGGGCCTCACAAATGCTAAGCAAGCAGTTTACCACTGCACTGCATCTGCTGCCCCTCGATGGATAGTTTTAAAAGATAAAGATTAACCAGGGTTGGCTACCTTTCCGTTTGTAATAAAACTCATGGAAGAAAGCACTTATTTTGGCTTATGGTTCCAAAGGGTTAAGAGTCTGTCCTGGCAGGGAGGCATGGCAGGACACAGTGGGTGTGGGAGCAGGAACAGGAAGCTGAGAGATCATGTCTCTGTGTACATGCCACAAGCAGAGAGAGCAAACAGGAAGTGGGGTGAGGCTATAAACCCTCAAAGCCCACCCCCAGTGACCCACTTCCTCTGGCCAGGCTCTACCTCCTAAAGGTTCCATAACCTCCTGAGTAGCACCACCAACAAGGGATGAAGTGTACAAATACATGATGAGCCTAAGGAGGAAATGTCCCATTGAAACCACCATAGAGGAGGATTAGGAGTTCAAAACCAGCCTCAGCTGTATAGTGAGTTCCAAAACAGCCAGCATACGTGAGACCCAAGGGCACAGATATGTATGTGAAAAGATTGTTGGTAGCTGGGCAGTGGTGGTAAATGCCTTTAATCCCAGGACTAGGGAGGTAGAGGCAGATGGATGTTCAAGGCAGGTGAGTTCAAGGCCAGCCTGATCTACAAAGCAAGTTCCAGGGTAGCCAGGGCTGTTACAGAGAAACCCTGCCTCAAAAAACAAAAACAAGCAAACAAAAAATACTGTTGACAAATGACTATGACATTATTGACACTTTCGGTTCTTCGTTGGTCTTAAAACTAGGGCAGGACTGAGAGATTGCTCAGTGGTGAAGAACACTTGCTCTTTCAGTTCCCAGAACCTATGTGGTGGCTCACAATCATCTGTTCCCAAACAAGAGCCATAATGATATCACTGGATCTGGTTTTTGGTGTTCCTTTTGTTCTAAGAGTGTGGGGCAAGTGTTCTTTATTATTTGGCGTGTGTGTGTGTGTGTGTGTGTGTGTGTGTGTGTGTGCGCGCGCGCGCACACACACATCTTGTGGAATCAGTCCTTTTCATTTTGCTGTAATGGTAGTTAGCTCTTGGTAATGCCTGCCAGCTGTTCATGAACAATGCTTAAAAAACAAAACTAAGCTGGACGGTGGTGGTGCACGCCTTTAATCCCAGCACTTGGGAGGCAGAGGCAGGCAGATCTCTGTGAGTTCAAGGCCAGCCTGGTCTACAGAGTGAGTTCCAGGACAGCCAGAGCTGTTTACACAGAGAAACTCTTTCTCAAAACAAACAAACAAACAAAAAAACCAAACAAACAAACAAAAAACTAAGCCAGTCAGTACAGCAGCTAACGCCTTCTGTCTGGCTTGTAAAATCCTTTAGCTAGTAATATTCACCCTGACTTATGGCTTTCCTTTCTTTTCATTTCTCTTAAATGTCTTAGAAATTTTCATAAGTATGCATATCATAAAAGCTCACCTCTGAATCCTTTCTGTTACGTTGGAAACATCATATGTAGCCTGCCGGTCTTTCATGTCAAAGGGCTGTCAGCAGCAAAGCTAGGAGTCACACATGTTCCATTGTGGGCCACTTGGTCCCCAACTGTGGCATGGCTGAGTGAGTGTGAATGTATTCCCAATAAAATGTGGGGCTGAGAAATGGCTCAGTGGTTAAGATTAATGGCTGCTCTTCCATAGGACCTGTAATTAATGTTTTTTAATGTATATAAAGAAATATCATCAAACTTATGGTTTCTCAATATCAGAATTTCCAAGAATTCATCCAGATGTTCATGACAATGGGCTGATTTTATGTTTATATAATATACATATATTTAGTTTATTATTAATAAATTAATATGTTAATATTATATTAATATATAGCATGTACTATATAAAAATATATTTAGTATGTAATAAGTCTGTTATAAGAAGTTGACCTTTGAAGGCCGGGCGGTGGTGGTGCTCATCTTTCATCTCAGCACTCCGGAGGCAGAGCCAGGTGGATCTCTGTGAGTTCGAGGCCAGCCTGGTCTACAGAGTGAGATCCAGGACAGGCACCAAAACAACACAGAGAAACCCTGTCTCAAAAAAAAAACAGAAAGAAAAAAAAAAAGAAGTTAACCCAGTTGTTGTTATTAATGTCAGAATTTATTAAGTAAGTCTTTACATTCATGTTTCAAATTATGCATTTTTCAAAGACTCTAGACAAGGAGCTGGAGAGATGGCTGGGTGGTTAAGCACATTTGCTGCTCTTGCAGAGGATCTGCGTTCGGTTCCCAGCACCCACCTAAAGTGGCTCACAACTGCCAGTAGCTCCAGCTCCAGGAATATCTGACGCCTCCGCCTTCACTTGCACTCACATGCACATACCCATAATACACAGACATACACATAATTAAAAACAAAATAATGAAGCTGGAGAGATGACTCCTTGGTTAAAAGCACTGACTGTTCCTGCCGACGTCCTGGGTTTGCTTTCTAGCACCCACAAGTACCTCATAATCTCAAACTCCAGTTCCAGGGGATCTGACTCCCTCTGCTGGACTCTGCAGACAACAGGCATGCACGTAGTACATGTACATATGTGCAGGCAAAACACTCATACACATAAAATAAATAAATATAGTTTTAAAATAAATCTTGCTAGGTGTTGTAGTGCACATCTTTAATCCTAGCACTTGGGAGGCAGAGGCAGGTGGCAGGTAGATCTCTGTGACTTCCAAGCCAACCTGGTCTACATGGCAAGCTCCAGGCCAGCTGGGGCGACATAGTGAATAAATAAATACGTAAAAATAAACTAAATCTTTAAGCACATACACACACGGCAGACAAGGCTGGGTTGTAGCTGAATGGTAGAACACTTGCCCAGTACGATGCTCACTCTTCCTTGTCAATCTGACAGACTTAGAGTCACTGGGAGACGAACCTCTGTAGAGTTTGTGTTGATTTGACTAAAGAGGTAAGACCCACCCTAAATGTGGGTCTGGAGGAAGCTGACTGAGACCAGTATTTGTCTTTCTTTGCTTCCTGATGACAGACACAATGTGACCAGGCAGGGTGGTGTCTTTGATAAAGGAACCCCTTTAACCCAGGCTCAAACAAATCTTCCCTTAAATTGTTTTTATCAGGATTGGTCACAGCAGGAGAAAAGTAACTAATGCACTGGCCTTGTGGGAGGACTAGTTCCTTCTGCAGCACAGAAGAAAGAGACCTCACAGGGAAGTTTTTTTTTTTTTTAGTTTGGGCTAAGCAGGGAAACTCTTGAGAGCTCAATTATTTTATTTATTAATGTATGAGTGTGATGCGTGTAAAGGTCAGAGGACAACTTTCAGAAATCCGCGCTCTCCCTCCAATGTAAGTTCCAGGAAATGAACTCAGGTCATCAGACTTGCACAGCTATCTTCTTTTACCCACGCAAACCCCCTCTCCAGCCCTAAATTAGTTTTTAAATCAAAAAACCCCACTCAAGTGTAGCACTCAATAACCATATAAAGTGATGACAACCATCTTGGATCTCTACCGGGTGTCAAAAATGCACATCCTGGGAGCTGGGGATGCAGGTCAGCTGTAGTGCACCTACCTAGCATGTATGAAGAGCCCTGGGGGTCCATCCCCCAGCCCCTAATAAACCAAGCTTGGTGGCAAATGCCTGTTATCCCAGCATTTGGCAAGTGGAAGCAGGAGGGTCAGAAGTTCGAGGTCATCCTTGGTTACATAGGCAATTCAAGGCCAGCCTGGGCTGCATGAAACCAAAAAAATTGTAGCCTAATGGTCTCAGAGGAGAACTGGGGGAGAAAGCAGGGCCTGAGTGTATTGAAGACAGCAAGTCCTTTTAAGTTTTGCTTGCGTTGGGTGTTCTGTGATTGGCTGTAGTCATCTTTATGAGAATCCTTTTCCAATGTTTCCTTTAGAACTGGAGTCAGACTGGGCAGTGGTGGCACACACCTTTAATGCCCACACTTAGGAAGCAGAGACAAGTGAATCTCTGAGTTTGAGGCCAGCCTGGTCTACAGAGTGAGTTCCAAGGCAGCCAGGGCTACACAGAGAAACCCTGTCTCAAAAAAACAAAAACAAAACAAAACAACAACAACAAAAAAATGAACTCAAGTAAAAATTTCTGGTGTGGGTCAGTGAGTTGGTTCAGTTGGGCACTTGCTACCAAGTCTGACAACCCAGGTTCCATCCCCCAAACCATGTGGTAGAAGGAGAGAATCCACACCTATAGCTGTCCTCTGACCTTCACTCCAACACCAAGGCACAGCCACTCACACAGACATGCACACACACGGTGCATAAACAAATGTCATAAGTGAATTTAACCTCATCTGCATTGGAAGCCAGAAGGCCAGGAAGAAGACAAGAGGCAAGGGTAGAAATTGCTGCTAGCCTGAGAGGGTGTGGCCAAGCCAAAGGGTCAGCCATCACATGGCCCCAGTCAGTTGGGGATAGGTAGGAAACTCATCAGTGTTGCTACTGAATTTGTGTGTATGTGATGTCTCTCATTTTCAAGTGTTTGCTTATTCCACACATTTTCAAACTTTGTGTAAGGTCGAGAAAATACATGCCAGGTGGGATCCTGTTAGAACACTGGCCAAGGACTTCTGCTGTAGGCAGAGTGAGGCTGACTGCTTGTTTCCAGTCTAGAATCATTTGTTCTCCTATAAGATTATGTACATCTGCAAGGTTTTTATACTTTAAGATTGTTGGGAGCACAAAAGTCCTTGTGCCCAAAGATCTCAAGGGAAACCAGAATGTTATTCACTTAGGGGTGTCTCCTCAGTGGACAGTAAATACTGCATTACCTCTCCTCAATAAAATACCTGCATTTCATCCAGAAAGCTGGAGTAGGTGTTGTCAATGACCTGGTGACTTTGCTATCTGTAGAGGCTGACCTCATCCAAACCCCCTAGAATGATTATCCCAGACTCTCTCACCCTAGACCTTTATCTTTAGTTCCAAGTTAATAGAACCCATCCTTAGGGGAGATGTCACATGTACTTTATGGCCTGTTGACCTCTGTGCTATCTTCGTCAGAGATCACACCAGATCCCAGGCCTTTTAGCTGTAGAACCCACCTTCATGGTTACATGTACTTTGTAAAGGAGTTTCTATGTGGTCACCCCTTAAGCTTTATTGTGCACCTGTAGTTGGAATGATTGTAGCCTGAAAAACCCTTTTCCAAATTCTATTGTGTTTAAATATGCTTACAATAAACTGCCTGGCATAAGACTTCCCGATTTGATCCAGGTTGACCAAGTCAATCTGAACGGACTTTTCATTCTTACCTCTTTTCAGATGGTTACCTGCCTTGACACCTGTAGAGACCCCATCATAAGATGTTTTAGTTTTGCCTGTGTTATTAAAAATTACATTTATTTGTTTATTGGGAGGTGCATGTGTGGAGGTCATCAACCTGTGGGAGTCTGGTCTCTTTCAACCAAGTGGGTTTGAGGACTCGAACTCAGGGTGGCGGCTTTGGCCACAAGCCCCTTTCGTGCTGAGCCATCTCGCTAGCCCTGGTTTGGTCTTCTTTAAGCAGCCCTGGTAATGTTTTACTCTTTAACTTTTTGTGTGGGGACACTAAGACAACAAGGAGCCTCTAGTCAGTGCCTTTTCCACTGCTCTGTGGCAGGACCTTTCATCGGCTTGTTCATTAACACGTGTGGGTGCCGCCAAACAGCAATCATTGGCGGGCTGGTGAACTCCCTCGGCTGGGTGTTGAGTGCCTATGCAGCCAACGTGCAGACTCTCTTTATCACCTTTGGAGTGGCAGCTGGTAAGCATGGCTTAACATTTTTTTTTTATTTCAGTGTCTTGTGCATTTAGATGACGAATTTAACTGTGGAGAAAAGAGGCCCATTGAGACATTCTCTTGATAACGTAGAGAGATGGCTCAGCAGTTAAGAGCATTTGTTCTTGCAAAGGACCCAGGTTCCATTTCCAGCACCCACATGGCAGCTCATGGCCATTGTCACTCCAGTTCTAGAGGATATGATATCCTCTTCTAACCTGTGTGGATAACACACACACACACACACACACACACACACACACACACACACACACACACAAAACAGTTTACTTGTATGCATACAGGCAAAACACTCACACAAATAAAATAAAATAAACAAATCTTTAAAAAAATTTAAGGCATTCTGTTCTCGTCTTGGAAGTGTGTGTGTGTGTGTGTGTGTGTGTGTGTGTGTGTGTGTGTGTGTGTGTATACACGCGCGCCATTCTGTCATCCTCTGCCTTATTGTTTGACACAGGGTCTCTCACTGAATCTGGAGCTAGGCTGGCAGTCAACAAGCCCCAGAGATCCTCCTGCTAGTGACACCTCCCCGCCCCCACTAGTGTTACAATATTCAAAGCCCCATCCAGCTTTTTACTCGGATAGTGCAGTTTCAAACTCAGATCCTTGGTTTGCATAGCAAGCCTTCTTATCCATTGACCCAAGAAAAAACTTTAATAGATGCTAAGTGTCCTTTATGTGTGGGTAACTTACTAGAAACTGTATTTGGCTTCCCAAATAGAACAAAATTCAAACTTTCATGCCAGCTCCTGAGTGCTAAGGTAGATCTTTCTCCTTTGAAGAATGGGAAAGGGGGAATAATGACACAAATTTAAGTGAGTAAACAAATTTCTAGGGAAATGAATGACATTCTCTCTCTCATTAATAAATATAGAACTGAATGTGAATAATGGAATAGTCATTTATCTTTCAGCTCTGTTTAGATGAATGAATTAGCACAAGCCACAGGCAGGTCGAGATTCTCAGAAGCCAATCTAGCACACAGGCAGGGGATGGATTAAAACTGAACACCATGCAGAGTGATTTGCATTCTGCAAAATGTATTCCTAGCTATAATTTCCTTTACCCACAGGTTGTGGGGTTCACACAGTGAGTAGTTATTTCCTCCAACCCTGTGTTCTGGTGAAGCTGTTCCTGCCTGACTCTGTGAAAACAGAACTCTGATCCTCCTCAAAAGTGAATTGTTAAATCAGAATTGAAAGCTATTTT